GTGAAAGGCATCAGACCAAATCTCACTGAGCCCTCCCTGCATGAGCATCGCGACAACCTTCTGCTCCTGCTCCTCCTGCTCCTCCACCACCCCCATCCCCAACACTCTTCTTCTTCTTTTTTTAATATTTTAATTTTAATTCATGTTATTTATTAACATTGACTTCACCCTCACGCCTACTTTGGGCTTCCAACCCCAACTCTCGAGTATTTATGTTACGAGCCACATTCAATTACTTATCACAATAAAAAAAAATGTGGTTAAGTTATTTATTTTATCTCAAAAAAATAAAAAAAATATTGAAATTTTACATAAAAAATTAATTATTATAATTGAATTAAAAAAATTTAATTGTGAATCTCCTTAGTTCAATTATCAATAAATTTTATAGTGATTAATTTTTTTATGTGAGACTTGAATGTAATTTTTTAAAAAATAAATTTTCAATTCTATCTATATTCAGTGAAAATTTTTTAAATTTATGTTATATCTCCTCTTATAGTTAATTAGCTTAAATATGAATAATATTTAAAAATAAATAATCAATATATTGCAAAGTATCTTATATTAAAAATGATCAATTTATTCTCAAATATATTTTCTTTGTTTCAAATTATAAGACATTTTTAAAGGAATTCATATTACAAAATACTCCTCCATTAAAAAATGTAAGGTATTTTTTAAGGAGATGAATGTTAAAAATATAAGGTATTTTTAGTTTTTCGAGATGTATTCATTGTCTTTTTTTAAAAGTATCCTTATTGATACTAAATTTATATTTATTGTAAGCTATTTAATAAAGATAAATATAAAAAGATGAGGTTAATTTTAAAATAGGTAACTATTTTATTGCGGGTAAAATTTGATTAAAAATGCTTTATATTTTTACACGGAAGAAGTATAAAACATTTTAAAAAAAATCAAGATTTCAGTAAATAAATTTATTTTAATATTTTTTCTCTTTCTCTATTTAATAATTGAATGTAGATTTAAGATATTAAATAACATATATTTTAAAAAAATTTTATTTATATTTAAATAAATTATTAAATGTATTTAATAAAATTTATTAGTAAAATTATTTTATAATTCAGACACACTTTACAGCAAAGGAGGGAGTAATTGGAGTCACTGACACCAACTTAATTGAAGAAACAAGGGTTGAATGTGGTGGATGCATTGTCAGGGGCAAGTACAGCGTTTCAGTTGGGCCTCATGTCTCTGCCCTAAAGCCTCATCTCCTCCTGTACTTCCTCATTACTTCTTTTCCCTCCATTTTTCCTTTTGTACGGCCCCGCCTTTAATTCCTATTCTTCTTTTCTCTCTCTTTTTATATCATCCTGATTTTTATAATTAAAGCACGAGAATTGAAAGGAAAATCAAAACATGGAGACGAGGATTAGACTTATCGATGTCCACATGCACGTTACTGAGTTCCCTTACCAAATGACGTTATCTTATCTCATTCTGCTGTGACATTCCCACGCAGAAAATTTGTGTCACACATTATTTCACACAACCAGCACTCACTTGATTCCCCTATATTTTTATGTTATCGTTTGTGTCATTTCTTAATTAAACTTCATACTTACCCAAGAAAAGGAGAAATTGATAGATATTTTTTTTTAAATATAAAAAATGACAATCTAATGATGTAAAATGTGATAATTTTTTAAGTATTAAAATAATTTATTTATTAATAAATTTTAAAGTAATATGACAGTGACAGAAAATTATGATTTCTTAAATACATTATTTGTGTCATTGTAAATATTTATATAAAATTAATTAAACTTTATTGATTGAAAAAAAATTGCTAGTAAAAATTGTGATTTCATAAATTATTTTAACGAATAGTTATATTTGTCTTGTGATTGCTATCTTCATTACTTTTGTTTTTCATGAGGGCAAAAACACCATTTATCAGTTTAAAACCTATTAACAAATAAGTCCTTTGGAGCTGGAAGGAAATTATCACATTTCATGAGACTGAATTTTCATCTCTATATTTCAAAATGATTTATCTATCATTTCCTCAAAGAAAAGAGTAGCTCAGAATTTGGTTATCTGCTTCTCTATTGTGCCACAACATGTTAAAATGTCTAGATGTAAATAAAATTAACTTGACACGGGAAGTTTTATATGATAAAATTTGAATTAACAAGTAATATATAATAAAATAGAAAAACTCAAAAATTTAAAGCTTAAGATGTTAGGATGTAGCATCCTTTACCTAAAAAGGCCTAATCTGGATTCACTGTTTAGTAATATATATCTATATATATATGTATATATATAATAAATTCAACAATAAACCATTACCCTCACCTATTATTAACAACATAACAATTTTTTTAACATAAATTATTATATTTAATTGAAATTAGTGAATGTTTTTAAATTTTTAAAATTACCCTCAGTATAATTCATTCAATAGAGGATACTGAGACAGTTAGCCAGCTGTTTGATTAGTTGGTCATGGGTATAAAAATATATACTCTCTCTGTTAAAAAATATAAGGTATATTTTGAGAGATTGTATGTTTAAAAATGCAAAATATTTTTACTTTTTTAAAGTGTAATTATTATTTTTTAAAAAATTTTATTAAATAAATCACTTTATATTTATTTTATAAAAAAATATCCTATTAAATATGAATAAATATAAAAAAATTAAATTAAATTTAAAAATAAATAATTACTTTATTAAAAATAAATTTAATTAAAAATATTTTATATTTTTTAATAAAAAAAGTAACTTGTAAAAATATTTTGAAATCAATGCAACGAGCCTTCCGAACAGGGACAGTATGGAAAAGGTCCTTGAAACGAGGAAGGGAGTCTAGTCATGCTTCAGCTTCAAACGATTCGTGTGGTGTGTGCTGTGGAGAATTAAAGAAACATGTAGGGGTCATCTATTAAAGTGGTTAGGTAGAAAGATTTTAATAGAATTCCAATAAATCATATGGTCGTTTAAGGTTAGATCACATTAATAAAATGACATATTTCAAAATTTGTAAAATTTATAAATAAAAAAAAAAAGGAGGGAATGAATTAGTGAAAAGGAGCTTTATCTTCTTTTAAGAAGAGAGTTTGGTGTCGGAGGTGGGGCGGCCTGAAACGAACCAGAAAAAGACACGTAATGTACGTGAAGTCTGACTCACCGTCTTGGGTTCTCAGGACAATTGATACCACGCTTAAGTGTATTCTCTCTCCTCCTTTTTTGTCTTTTGTTTTTTTAATGCCATTTCATCATTGCCTGCCTCCTCCTTCCCATTAATTCCATCTCCCCGACTTCTTTCTTATTGTTTTTTATTAAATATTTATTTTTTATAAAATAAAGTTCAAATAAATTGAATCTACGTTCTCGTTAAAATCAGATCATCCCTCTAAACTTAAAAAAATTATTATTTTTCCAGTGTTCGTATTAAGTATTTTAATTATTAATTATTATTTTAATAATTTTACTCCTTTAAAATTTGTTGTTGTGTTGTATAATTTTCGTTATATTTTTTTGAATATGTGACTAACGTTAATTTATCAATTACATTCTGTCTTTTTTGTTTATATAACATATATTAAGAGAATAAATAAATCTCAACACAATATTTCAGAAGTTTTATTATAAAAATTAATCAAAATTTTCATAGATTATAATATTCACTTCTGCAATTTTAAATTATAAGAATCAAATTAGAAATTGAATATACTCACGAAAAATAAAAGTATATATTTTCATATACACGAATAAGGAATTAAAAAAGGGGATGGGATGAGTTGATTCCATATGATTTTTATTATATGGCACATCCAATGACCTCACTAGAATTAAGGAGGAGTGCTTAAGTTACTAACTTTGTTTTTTTTTAAAAAAATTCAATTTTAATCTTATTTAAATTATAATTTTTTAAATTTGCATATACTCTATTTCATAGTTAGTGAGTTTTAAATAAATATAATATCAAAAAAATATAAGTATCCCATAATATGCCTTATATTAAAGACCATAAAATGCTTATAGAAGGTATCATATAATAAGACCAAAGAGAATACTCAATATAAATATAAGAATGGATTTGATGCATTTCTTTCTTGACTACATTTTTCATGTGTATTTTTAAAATTGACATGGGGAAGATGAAAAAGTAGTTTCGAGTTAATTATCAATAAAATTAGAGATACACTTAAAAAGTGCATCAAGTCTGGATTCTCAAGAAAAGTAATATTGTAGCAATCAGTATATCAACCTAGTTATTGACTACATCGTATGTTACCTTCAAGTTGGCATCTAAGATGGCAACCAATCCCTCCATTATAGTCAACGTGATGTCATGCGAAGACAACACGTCATACGTGTCATCTACATTCATCTCCTTAAGGGGCGTATCATCACTATGGCCATTGATATAACAAAATGGCGATAAAAAAAGTACTCATTGTAACTCCTTTAATATCTCATCCTGCACTCGGCTTCTAGTCTGTGAGCCTCCAATGCCATGATGAGAATCTTGGACTTGCTCAGAATCCTCTTGAATGACGCGGTCTTAGTTCTTAGTTAACATGGACCACGTCTCCATGACTAAAGACGCTACCCATGACGTGGCCATCGTGTATAATTTCACCTTAGCTACTATGTAGGATTTGAGTGCTAACTTAAACACGTGTTACAAATTATGAGAGTTCCTTACTTCTCAGAACAAAAAATAATAAGAGACAGAAAGAAAATGATACATCTCCCCTCTTTGCATGCCAATCCCACCAAAGCAATGCTGCTGCTACTTTCTTCTCGTGTATGTATAAATATCGGGTTGGGCTAAATGGACAGAACATCACCCGACTCGAACATGACCAAATTCATTTGAATTGCCTTTTTGATTTGTATTGGACTAGGCAATCTTTTATAAAATTGGGCCTTAGAGAGCAGTCCAAATTAAAATACCATTAAGCCCATGAGCAGATATGACAGGTTTTTTACAATAGAATATCAGTGACAGTCTAGCCATGGAAACATTGCAGAGGAACAGGAAGGATCACTGATGAAAACGACGGCGACTTTGTGGAAGGCAGGATACGGAGCCAAGAGATTTGCTTCCTCTTCCGAGTCACCTAAGTTACACACTAATGGTTCACTGCAAAAGCTCTTATCCCCATCTGCCGCACACAATTCCCTCACTGGTATTTTCCCTCGCTCGTTTTGCTTCCTGAAATCTTCGTCTTTTGTCCTCGCCTATCTATTTCTGAAAGAAATTCTCAGTCAAATAAATCTTCTTCTTGTTTTTAACATATCTCAGATGATCACAAGGGTCTCTGCCGTGTTCTTGAAGCTTGTAGAATTTCTAAGCATTTTAAAACTGCGGCTAAAACCCACGCCAGAGTTATTGTACTTGGATATGGAACCTACCCGTCTCTTGTAGCATCTCTGATTTTGACGTATGCGCGTCTCCGTCTCAATCATATTACCCATCAAGTTGTAGATTGTGTTTTATGTTCATCTGCTGATCTGTTCACCATGAACTTATTAATAGAAAGCATTATGAAAGCTGGGGAATGTCATATTGCCAAGAAGGTGTTCAACAAAATGCCTGTTCGAAATGTGGTCTCGTGGAACTCCATGATTGGAGGCTATGTGAAGAACTCACGATTCAGTGACGCGATGAGGCTTTTCAGGGAGATGCTAAGCTCGGAGGTTGAACCTGATGGGTTCACATTTGCTTCCATGATCACCGGATGTGCACGCCTAGGTGCTCTCAGTTATTCTGAATGGGTGCATAATTTGATGATCGAGAAAAGATTAGAACTGAACTATATATTGAGTTCGGCATTGATTGACATGTATGCAAACTGTGGCAGAATCAATGTGGCTAGAGAACTTTTTGAAAGCGTCAGGCGCGATGACGTTTCTGTTTGGAACTCAATGATTAATGGGTTGGCAACTCATGGACTTGCTTTGGATGCATTTGCACTATTTTCAAGGATGAAGATGGAAAACGTTTACCCTGATTCAATTACCTTCATCGGGATTCTTGCAGCTTGCAGCCATTGTGGTTTGGTTGAAGAGGGTCGCAAATACTTCAATTTGATGCAAAGTTATTTCTCGATTCAGCCACAACTGGAGCATTATGGAGCCATGGTCGATCTCTTGGGGCGATCAGGGCTCTTAGAAGAGGCCTATGCTATTATTAAGGAGATGCCAATGAAGCCAGATGTTGTTATCTGGAGGGCACTTCTTAGTGCTTGTAGAACACATAGAAAGAAGGAACTAGGCGAGATTGCCATCTCAAATATATCCCGTATAGAGAGTGGAGATTATGTGTTGCTGTCAAATATGTATTGCTCTTTAAACAAGTGGGATAGTTCGGAGAGAGTGAGACACTTGATGAGAATGGGAGGAGTTCGGAAAATCCGAGGTAAGAGTTGGATTGAGTTAGGAGGCACAGTTCATCAATTCAAGGCTGCTGATAAGTCACATGCCGAGATAAAAGCGATTTACAGAGTGCTGGAAGGTTTGATCCAAAGGGCTAAGTTGGAAGGTTTCATGCCATTGACTGAACTGGTTTTGATGGATGTTTCTGAAGAGGAGAAGGAGGAAAATTTAAGTTTTCACAGCGAGAAGTTGGCATTGGCCTATGGGATCCTGAAAAGTAGCCCGGGAACAGAAATCAGGATTTGGAAAAACCTTCGTATCTGTCAAGACTGTCATAGTTTGATGAAAATCTCGTCGAGGGTTTTGAACAGAGTAATACTTATGAGAGATCGTATCCGTTTTCACCACTTTGAAGGTGGTTTGTGCTCTTGTGGAGACTACTGGTAGCTATAGCTAAAGAGAGTTGATTTCACAGAATTCCCTACAAAGTTATACAATGGTATTCGGTGAATGAAGGCAAAATCCTCGGGCATCTAATGAATGAGAATTGTCAGCACTTATGCACAAGCAGCAAAATCTTGTTCATATGGCAATGATGATTGATGAGGCAGTGAGGCCTGGTTAGTCGGATTCTCCATGCCATGAGAATCCATCAAGAATATCTGCCCACTAGCTCATAGTTAAAGCTGGGAATTCAGTCGGGTCGAAAGAGGCCTGACTCACTGAAAAAACCTGAATAGCGAAGTTCGGTCCGAATTCCTTAGAGCTACAGGTGGGCTGAATACCTGAATTTTATTTTTAAAATTATTTTTAATTAATTTTGTACTTTAAAATTAACTATCTTATTTTATAAAATATATTTTTTTGATATTTAAATGATATATAGGATTCAAATATATGATATTTTAGTATAAAATGATATAAAACTTAAAGAATTAATTAAAATTTATTATATTTTATATTTTTTATAAATAAATGAAATATATCCAGGTATCCAGGCCAAACTTAAAAATAAAAAAAATTAAAATATTTTTTATATAATTAAGCTTGATCCAAACATAAAAAAAGTATATTTTTTTTAAGTCCGGTCTTAAATTTTTTTGGGAGGATTTGGACTAGCCTGTTAGGTTTGGTTTGAATTATTGGCTGTACTTATGGTTATGCAACCATTCTTTCACAACTCAAGTTGGACAAGGTGGCAATGAAAACCCATTGAATTGAGTGTTGTAGATAAGTAAATTCTTTGAAACTCGAAACATTGAGTGCTGCAGGTGGCAAATGGCAATTCATTGACGCTTAGATTGAGTCAAATGGGTGGTGAGATCCACTAAATAGTAACTACTATTTAATCGTACGAAAGAACTTCATATTGATGTTGATCATGTGACAGAGCTGTGATAATGAACAGAGGAAGAGTGCATTATGTTGGATGACAAACCCAAGGTTATCACTGGCTTCATTTGGTGCTAACGTTTGTCGAATTGTCAATGTCTCCTGGAAGTCAGGACACAATTCATCCGCTTCCTGAACCGGCTGCCGAGTTAATTGGAAGATGCAGCAGATGATTCATTGCTCCTATCCGCAGAAGACGAATGAATGACTTGTTCATTCAGAATTTCCTTTGTTACAAGCTTGGCTTGCACTGATCTTCAACAAAGGTTGAGTGATCAGGTACTGCTACTAACCCATCTCCAAGTACTTTTAAACTTCTATGTAGAAATTTTTTTTTTAATTTTTTTTTATTTACTGATCAATACGGTTTTATTACTAGAATGTGAAAGATGACAGAAATATATAGAAAGATGAAAGGCAGTCGCAAATTGAATATATAGAAATATAACCTCATTATAATGTGGAATTCTAATGCTATATAACATTTGATACAGCATAGGGAGCCATTAATTGGGCAAGAAAATAATACAAATCATAAAATTAAATACACGACAAGCATATGGTGGTAAGTAAAATAGCTTATTAGCTATCCTGGATCGGAACTAATGGAAGTTGGCCTCCATATATCTCTGGGATTTGACTTTCGTCTATTTCTTCCATCAGTGTGGATTTGATCTTCCTCTTCTCCACGAAGGTTATCTGCAAAAATAGTCAACATGATCACTATCACATGCTCGTTAATAATTTCTTGCACTTAAATGATTCAGGCAATTGTAGATTTCAAATGCTACCTTCTTCTTGGTCTTGTTGTCAATGAAGGGGTATATCATCTTCCAAACGGTCATAAATATGGAGGGCGCATGCACTATAAACAACTTCCCCAGTCTTTCTGGGTAGTAATCCTGGCAAAAATAACAGAGAAAGAAATTCAGAAAATGATCATGAGATTGAGATCCTTCTGCTAAAGAAAAGCTTTACTGATTCCATGAATAACGGAATATTGGAAGGTACGTTACCATGTTCGATGTTTTAACGATGTCACCGTGTTAGAGCTTTCATTAATTACTACTTATTATTAAAACTAATCACACCCCTCTTTGGGATGATGGTGCCGTGGGCCCGTGTCTGGCAATAGCTTTTATGTTTTTATAATTATTATTTAATATTCAATATTTTTAACCTTTTATTCTTAAAATTATTTTATTCATTCAACTTTTGAAGTCTTTGGGCAAGCGAAATCACACTTACCTGTAAAATAGAAAGAGCAGCTAGATATCCACGAACATCACTGTTTGCATATCTCCATCCTTCAAGATCTGCAATTGCTACAAACTTTTCTTGTCCCGGTGGTATCCTGATACATAAAAAAAAAAAAAAAAACATGCATTATTATATTCAAGCAAGCTCATGCTAGATTCAAAAAATTGATAATACATTTGTTTAAAAGATACAAGATAAAGTGTTACCTTGAAATCACTTTATCAAGAACATAGGTCACCAATCCTGCACCCAGAAAAAAAGTTGCTCGCCAGTAAGAAATCTGCAGCTGGGTTTGAATCAATGAAAGAGAGAGAGAGAGAGAGAGAGAGAGAGAGAGAGAGAGAGGAAACAGACTTTTGAATTCATCGAAGCCGTCAGAGTCTTGATAATGTTTTGCACCAAAGACAACTGCTATAGGTCGTCCAATCTTATCGACTCCTTGCATGTACACCTTCTCATGAGCCAACTGATTGGTAATCTCTGATTGGGCAATGAAACCATTTGGAACAAATGATCGTCTCCATTTTAAATACTTGAGAAACATTGCTGAAGCCTTCTCTATGTCTAAGTCACGAGCACGCAAGAATCTCCTAATCGTCAAGTCATCTGCATCCTGAAATATTTATTACCCATAAATCATGTAAATTTTCAGTTTCTTGCAAAGCATAAGCGCCAGACTAAAGATAATCATACAATGACTAGCATAAATTGCTCTATAAATTTCTCAAATCAATTAATTTTTCTTAAGTCACTAGTTGATTTTCTGGAAATAATTTCTCATCTTATTTAAGTGCCAATTAATTGATACTGAAAAAGATTACTTCTTTAAGTTAACTTACTTCACAGAGTAGTTCTTAAGAAATGAACTAGTAAAAAATATTAGACTTTCTAATTTTGTCACGTCACAAAAATTAATGGCTACAATAAAATATCTTCAAACTACTCATTGTGTTAAAAAATATAAAGTATTTATAATTGAATTTCATCTATCAATAAAATAGTTTTTTTTTAAACTAACTTTATCCTTTTATATTTACATCTATTTAACAGGATGTTTCACTCTAAAAAATATAAAGTAATTTATTTAAAAGGAGTACTTTTTAAAAAAAAGATAATGATTACAACTTAAAAAGATTAAAAATATCTTATATTTTTTAATATCTAACTCCTCTAAAAATATTTTACATTTTTAAACAAAAATAATACAATTTAATACAATTAATGAGGAGTAATATTAAAAAAATGAATAATATAACTCTTAAACTTTATAGTTTTTTTTAATTATCGATTTAGTTTTAGAATTTTAACTTGATTCAATATAACTCAATCTTCTAATTTATTGAAGTAAAGAGTTATAAAAATCGAGCAGTATCGACTTACTGAAATGTTTTCAATGAAGAAACTAGACTTGTTACAAGTTGAAAGAACCAAAAAATTATATATAATTTTTTAAAATATTTTTTATTATTTTTATTAAAAAATATAAAGTATTTTTTAATAAGTTGAATGTCAAAAAATATAAAATATTTTTAATATTTTGAAGTGTAATTATTATCTTTTTTTTAATATCCCTATTAATAATACCTTTATATTTATTAAATATAATAAATATAAAGGTGTCTCATAAAATAAATATAAAAATATAAAATTAATATAAAAATAAATAATTATTTTATTAAAAATAAATTTTAATTAAAAATATCTTATAATTTTAAGGCATAGATATTCAGAATTAAACAGGATTTTAAGATTCTGCCCAAATAATTATTAGTGCTAGAGGAGTACTGGTGGAAGACACCGACAGAAACTGAATTAGACGTATCAGTGGTGTCGTCGATGCCGATGAGTCTGCTCTTCAAAGAAATTAATTGGTTAGATTTTGACATTTGAACTGGTCGATTATCTCCGACTCGGTTGAAAACTAGAGAAAAATTAAGTGTGGTCGTTTGGGGGATGTCCAATAAAATTGGAACGATACAGAGAAAAGATGAAGGGGCTAAAATTATTAGAAACCGAATAAATGGAGCTGGCTTGGCTGCATGAGAGCATCGTAAGAAATGTACGATACTGATTCATGGTTTTAACCTGGAAGTAATTGGGAAGCACAAGTTCTGACTTCTGGATGAACAAATCGTGCCAATTTCAGAAAGCTCAAACCCTACGAGAATTCAAACAATGGTACCTTGGCGGAGGGATCTTTGGCTTCAACGACAGCTCTCATGAGAGGGATCTTGGTGAGCTCTGCTTCAGTGCTGTTTTCCACACCGTCTCCATCTGCAACTTGGAATTCTGATTCTGCCTCCTCGTATTCGTTTGTGTCGGCCGAATCTTCTTCGGACTCCGATGGGGATGATTTCTTAGGACTCTTGTTCACTTTCTCTGCCTCCATTGCAAAATCTCTGTTTCCACAGGCCATTTGGTCTTTTTGTCTGGATCGCCGAGAGAACGGGGCCTTCGGCGAGGAATCTTCAAGAGGTTGAGATGGTGATATGGGAGATTCTGACATTATGGCAAATCTGGAACTTACATATAAACTTTCGGACCCTATTTATTTAGGAAGGGGAAGGAGATTTTTTCTCCCCTTCCAAATTTATATGGCATGTCATTTGCAAGTTTTTCTTTTATTTTACATTAAAATAAATATTTTTTTTTAAATTTTAAAACAGTTATATATAACTTTTTTCATTTTTAAAAATTTAAAATTAAATTCTCAAATTTTTAATTTTATTTTTTAAAACTCTCTATTATTAATTATGTTATTTTTTTAAGGATTAAAATTTCATTCAACTAAAAATATTATTAAATAAAAATTTTATATTGTATAATTATTTATAAATAATAAATTTTTTATATTTTTGGATAGTTGATGCATCAATAACAACAAAAAATTTTATTATCACTGTATTAAATTTTAAATATTTATGTTTATATTGATTTTATTCATGTTTTTTTTGGTTCTCAATGGTGAATGATTTTATTCTTTTAAAAATTAAATTCTTATTTATATTTTCATGTTAGACTACTGTGATGCACATGGTTAAAATATTTAAAATTTTAAATATTATTATGTTAGATTAACTTATCTTTTAATATTAAAAAACTATGCACTATTGATAATAAAAATATAAAAAAATACAAAAAGTAAATATTTAAAATTTTATATGGTGATAATAACAGTTATTTTGGTTACTATCAATGCTTCAGCTATTTAAAAAATATAAAAAATTTATTATAAATAGTTATACAATATAATATTTTTGTTCAATAATATTTTTTAGTTGATTAATATTTTAACACTCATAAAAAAATAACATAATTAACAATAAGAAGTTTTGCAAAATAAAATTAAAAGTTAAGAGAGTTAATTTTAAATTTTTTAAGATGAGAGGTTATATACTACTATTTCAAAGTTTAGGAAATTTTATACATTTTTAACTTTTATTTTATTAAATATTCATATAAAAAATTATATTATTAAAATATGTATATTTAACATTATTAAAATTAAAAACTTGTTAAAATTTTGTTAAAAATTAATAAATTTTATTTTTTTATTTTAATAAAAAATATTAAAAATAAATTATAAATAAAATTAAAGAGAATATATCAGATCTCGTCTTATACTCTCATAGCCCATTTGGTTCATTTTCCTCCGATGCATTTCCTCATTTCATGGTGTTTAGTTTGACTTTAACTTCAGTGTCACGTCGTATATTGAAGTCAGCATTATATCAAAAGATCTATGTAATGGGGTTACATTGTTTCAAAAGACACTTATGTCCTTCTTCTTCTTCCCTCCTACACTGTTCGACTTCTCCACTCTCCCACTATTCGACCCCTCTTCCTCATGAGACCATCATCCGGTGACACTCCTCCGCAGACCAACTCCTCCGTGGGCGACGCCTTTTCTCGATTTCAACTTCCATCGCCACCATCTCAACCTCTATCGTCGCGATCTTATTCGCAGATTCGAGATCTTGTTTCGCAGATGCCAGGAAAGGAGGAGGGTTGGGGGTTTTATTTTCAGTCTGCGATCTTGTACGCTGTCTTTGGCAGATTTGCTCGCTTGCATTAGATCTGTTTCTTTCTTTCCCTTTTCTTTGAAGGAACTTGATTTTGGTAAGATGGCGAGGACAAGAATGTTGTAGATGTTGCTGGCACGAGGAAGATGGAGGAGGAAGGGCCAAGGGGCAACGATGGAGGGGGTTGCCGGCGGTAAATTTTGAACAAAAAAGGAAGCAGTGCGTTTTTTTTCTAAGGGCAGTTTTGTTATTTCACTTTTATTTATATGTAATTAAATATAAAAAATTATTTTTATCATTCCTAATGGCATAGCAAACAAACTTATCATAATAATCATTACATTACGGGTCATAATAATCATTGCATTGTGGTCTGCTTGGGTAACTCCAAAAAATACATTCAAATGACATTTTAGACATGCTTTTATTAAATTTAATTGAATTTCCGAACATACTTTATACTTTACTTTTAATAAATGTAATGTGTGTTTAATTTTTAATTTATTAAAATTTATTTACTAAAAATTTTTTTAATAAAAATCATTTTAATAAAAATTAATTGTTGTGATGAGATTTATATTTTAATATATTTTTTTAAAAAGTCTGAATTGAAAGTTATTTAAACAATAATAGTATAATGTGTTTTTAAATATATAATTATAAAAAAATATTAATTTATGATAAATTATAATTTTTATTATATAAATTTAATATATTTAAAATATTTTAAAATGTGATAAAAATTTAAAAAAACATAAAATTTGATTTATAATACTAAAGTCTTTAATTATTTATACTTTTTTAATTTATAATTTTAAAAATGTGGTAAAGATTTATAATTTTCATTATATATTAATACTAAAAATTAATATGATTAATTATTTAATTTATAATGTTAAAAATTTAATATTTAATTATTATTATTTAAATGATAATTATATTTTTAATAAATTAATTATTTTTTAAATAAAAAATAAGAGATTAAATTTAGGTAGCATAATCAAATAATATCTCATTTTTTAAATTTATCTTTTCAAAAATTTTATCATTTTATATTTACCAAATTCACTTTCAATGGCATTCTCAAAATATGTTTTAGATACAATTTCATCTCTTTATTTTTTTTTTCAAATAACATTTACTCGTAAATTGAAATCTAAACGGTATTACATTCTATGATTTTATTGTATTTTTCTTGATTTAGTGAATCATTATAAGTTAGGTTATAAATATTTCTTTCATTTAAAAATATAAAATATTTTTAATTAAATCTCACCCTAATAAAATAATTACTTATTTTTTAAATTAGCACTATCTTTTTATATTATCCCTATTTAATATGATATTTTATTTTAAAATAAATATAAAGTGATTTATTCATTATAATTTTTTTTAAAAATCTAATAATCACACCATGAAATACTAAAAAATACTTAATATTTTTGAATATCTAACTTATTAAAAAATATTTTATATTTTTAAATAAATGGAGTATCATTTTTCTGTTACTTAATTCTCAACTATTACCTTTCCTGCCACCTCCATGTGGCAAATTGACCTCAATACTGCCAAAAAAAATTATCCATATATTATGCTTTTAAAAAAACAAATCAAGATAGTATAAGACTATAAGTTTAGAACTCGCTTTGCATAATTTTTTTTTTTTTCAAGATACTGTAAACTTAGAACACGCTTTGTATCAAACCAAGATTTAATTTGTTTTTTAAATAGAGTATGGAAGTTCAAGAATAGCTAGTTCCTGCGGAACCGAGTCTGGTGCTCACATATATTCCATCCCATGTAAAACCCATTGTCCCCTACCCGCTTCCCCCTTCTCCTCTCTGTCCGCCCTCCCTCATGTGCCGGCGTGCTTGAGTTTATGATATACGCCCCCACGCCCCCTTCAACCTTTAAAATATAAAATATTTTAAAAAAATTTGATATTAAAAAATATAAAATAGTTTTAATTTTTTAAAGTGTAATTATTATCTTTTTTAAAAATGTCCTTATTGATAGTAATTTTATATTTATTATAAGGTGTTTAATAGAAATAAATATAAAAAGATAGGATTAGTTTAAAAATAGGTAATTACTTTATTGGGAGGTGAGATTCGGTTAAAAATACTTTATATTTTTAATAGAAGGAGTGAGTACGATAAATATAATACAAATTTTGTAATTATAATTATTCAAATTACAAAATAATTATTTCATATCATAAAATAAGTAATAGGAATTCTTTTAAGGTTGCACATGGACAAGATCTGGCTTAATATGCAATTCAGGCAACCTAATTGACCCCAACAAATTTTACAAATATTTTTTTGAAAAAAAATATAATTATTGTCATTTAAAATATATTCTTTACATGGTATTAAGTTGATAACAAATTTTTAAATTTTGAAAGAGGTTAAAAAAAATTGTAATGACAAGTAATATCCAAAAAAACATAAAAATAATTTAGTTCAGGATAACTATAATTGTTTAAGTACGGGATCTCACATTTATTTATAATTTATTAAATCATATATTATAATTTAAAATGATGTAATTTTATTTTGTTACTAATTATGTATTATTAAATATTTATTTTATAATTTGTATAATTTTTGAAGTTTATAATTATAATTATAAAATTAATATATTTCCTTGAATTATAAGACAATTTTAGAGAAATCTTTTATTTCAAAATATAAAGTAATTTGAAAAAAATAAATTTTTATTAATAATATTTTTTCAATATTAATTTTCAAATTGAGGGAGAATTGAAATTATATTGTGGAATAATAATTAAATGTGTAGGGATATTTTAAAAAATTTATACTTTTATTTCAAAAAAGTACATTTATAAAGTGTCATTATTGTATTTTATTGGTATGCATAATATTATCTTAAATTGTCTTATAATTCATAATTTGAGATAGAAAAAATATTATTTATATTATATATAAACACCAACCAATATGTTGGGGAAAAAAAAAAGCCACACCACCGCATATAATACACAAATATATATCACCCACACGTTACACATAAAGGAAGGTGGGGTAGGGTGGAAAGAGGAAGTGGAGAGTGGGGATGGTAGGTTATGCCTGCACGTTGGTTTGATTGTGAGTACAAACTTGGTTCGATAGAGATTGAGTTTTGTATTTCTATCTAAAGAAGTTTGGATCTTGGTATGATATAAATAAAGTTTTAAATTTATATATGAGAAAATATTTTTGAAAGTGTAATATATGGGTAAATGAAATATTTTTTTCCGTAACATTGAGGTCAATTTGCTCCTCATTTTCACTTTGGCATAAATATAATCAAAATCAAAGAGTTTCAGTTTAATTTTTATATTTAAATTTTTTTAAAGTGTTGTTTGTGACTTGTGAGAGTACATAAAAGTTAGTATGGAAAGTGATGATAAAAAAAAAAAAAATTAAAGATCAACCGTGAATTATTGTCGCAACTTTAATCTTGTTCAAACTATTGTTTGAGTTTCAACTTTCAAGTTCAATGCTTGCATTATTGC